TCCGAGGGTTATGATAGGTATAAAGCTCCGAAGGTAAGCCAACAAGGCACCAACGGACTTGGGTCGACCTGTCAATTCGAATGATATGCGATATGACCTTTTCCGACAAACTTTGTGACATAAGAGGCTGACCTTGACCTGACCTGACCTTGACCTGAGGCACGCTAAGCTGCTAGCACTTAAACAAAAAACATTCGACGCTCCTAAGCTTGGTGAACACGACGATGCCTGACTCGCAGCTCTGAAACCACCTTTGGCGAAGTTATTCAGCGAAAACCAAATCCCTATTTTTGGGTACAAGACCGCACATCAGAGGTCACCGGTTGACTTCTGGATTTAATATCGGTCCCTGTGTCTCATAACGGCGTAAACGCTCGGTTTTCTGCGAGTCTCTAGCTCAACTGGGGTGAGAAGACAAGATGAGAGGGGGGGAGGTGATGTCACCAGCTGGGCGTATGTAGAAAGGCGATAGGTCTGGCGATGTTGGATGGCGATCAGGAGTGCTCGTGTTTAATACCTAAACACGAGCATACCTGATCGTCTTATTCGTTAGCGCTGTTTTAATGCCTAAATGTTTTTGAAAGAACACATGCATATGAAAATAACTCCCGGTTTCTGATGAAATTGTCGTTCCTCGTGGTATGAAACGAAGCGACGGAACTGATGAGGCAGCGCGCAGCAAACATTGGATGGCTCCACTTTTATGGCGAGCACCAGCACATGCAAGGCTGCCGCTTACCCAGCCACAAATCAACATTCCTGCCAAACTCAGCAGGGACAAACCGAGTTGTCTTTTTGCTCCTCAGCATGCAACCAAACGTGTTTGAAATGAAGAGATAGATGCCAGAACCTCGTTATGACATGGCATTGCATGTTTCAATTCACGTTTGTATGCGACGCTCATGCAATTGCTCTTTTTTGATTTATGTATAACGTCTGGCAATGGCTGCCTGTACTAAATCCAGCACATATGGATGTTTCAGCACTGCTTAATTATTTAGTTGCATTAACTATGAGCCGAATTCTTGCCACACATAGCGATCCTTTTGCACACATCCCTGCCAGAGAAGGTGAGGGGTAGTGCAATCTCCCTTACTGGTCGGTCATTATTACGAGCGAGCGAGCGCAGCGAGCGAAGCGAAGTCTTTTCAATATAACGAAAAAATCTCAGTATGAGCGGCCCGGCCTGGCCCAACGCTTTTGAGAGGCTTATATCTCAGCAACCGCTGGACCGATTGGCCTGCGGTCTTTTTTTTTGCTGGGAGTGGGTAGCTCCATCCCTTTTACCCCGTAATTGACTACTTTTGATACACCTCAGTGACCGTCGTGGCACGTGCCACGTGAAAAGTTAAGAGTGTTCAAGCTGTTTTGCAAAAGTAGTGATTTTGAGAGGCTCATATCTCAGCAGCCGCTTGGGCGATTGTCTTGCGGTAATTTTTTTTTGGACGCCATTTAATTGCGTCCCAGAAAAGCTATTTCTGGCACCTAAAAGCTGACTCGCCCCAAAATTGGTCCTCAGCACCTATTTGGTGGATACCAGCACCAATCATGGAAAATGACCTTAATTAGCTGTTTCTGGCACCTATTCATCGGTACGCCTTACTCTTTTTTCTGAATCTGGCACCTAAATGCTGAGCGTAGCACCAATCTAGTAGAAAAATGAACTACTGGCTGGTAGAATCATGTTGTTCTGGTATAATGACCCCTGGAGTCTAGCCTAAAGGTTGCCAGTGCAGCTACACTCTAAGACAGCCCGGTAGTGATCTCAGCATTGTAGGTATATGACGTTTAAGTAAGCAAATAATATTGATTTGTTTAAAAACACAATGTCATTTAAATATTTAAAAGTATTTATTTGTAATGCTTAAAGGGAAACATTTGTGTGTGTAATTGTCTCCATTTTGACCATTAAAACGGGTATTGTATTTTTTTTACGTCATCAAATAGCTCCAAAAAAGAAATGTAATGTTTTCATTCCGTTCAAGGCCGCTGAAGAAACGCGGGATCTTGCGTGGGACATTATCCGTTGTTTGCCGCGCAGAGTTCAAGTTGTGCCGTGGTTGTGCCTTTTTCATCCGTTTCTTACTTATGTCATATGTGTGCATGAAGCTTTGATTTTGTTTTTGGTTATTGTGTGGCCGGTCAGTCAAACGCCCCTGTAGAAACCGGATGCTGCGTTTGATCGAGATGGAGTCAGACGATGATTGCAGAAAGCTAATAATATTGAAAAGAGGGCCGGTTGCGTGGCATGTCTGTTCAGAGTTGAGATTTTGCTTTACTCCAGTTTATGACCTGAGAGCCTGGCTGGAAGTGACGGATCCAAACTTTTCACGTTAATGGCTGAGGGTGCAATAATCTCTAGTCTCTACATAGCGGGCTGGTATAGGAGCGTCTTGCTATGCTGCACCATAGCTGGCTAGTGATTCTCTTTTGGCTAGAAATGGCATTAGCCATTAACCATTATCTCCACTGGCGAAAATGGCACTTGACATCACCGAATGCAACGTTCATGTTGTTAGGATACATAAAATCAGGAAGATTACGCGAATTAGGTAGGCAAACGTGGAATAAAATAGGTGCTGGATGTTTTGGTTTTGGTGCTGAATCAGCAAACAGCAAATACGGAGTTCAACTAGACGATCTGGCAGCTTTAGGCTGTGTGGAAGCAATTAGGTGCCAGATTCAGATATTAGGGTCGAATAAGCATTTGGGGGCTGATCGGCAATTAGGTGCCAGAAACAGCTTTTTAGGGACCAGAAACAAATATTCCCCATTTTTTTTAGGGTAGCTGCATCCCTTCCAGCTAAAGTCGGATACTCTTGATCTATGTGAGTGACCCCCACTGCACGTGCAAAATGCAAAAAGAAGAGGTGCCAAATTTGTTCCCATTTCAATAACTCGGTAATTACTGGGGCGATTTCGCTGAAACTTGGCATACAGCTAGGCACCCACCAGGCAATGCATTCCCATGTGTAGCGGTTAGGGTACTACTGCACGTGCTCAAGTCCCAAAAGTGCAAATAGGTGGCAAAATCTGCAAATTTTAGCTATTTTTTCAACTGCTCCACGGCCCTGTTTTTCAACCACTTTTGACGCAACAACTGCCGATTGATGCAGGATGAATCAGAAAGGGATATACATCACAAAAATGAGCATTTCGATAAATCATAGGCGGATACAGGTGATCGAATTTGGGAGGCACAAGAAATACATAATTAATCGGGTGTTTTGCTGGTGCTGTCACCGAAACGGGTTGGCAATGTTTTATTATGTTACAAAAAATGTGTGATAGAATGACTAAAATTAGATTGGATATTCATAGGCGGCGTCAGGACACCGAAGTTGGGAGGTGAGATCCACCTCCCTTTCTTTTTCCTGGAACCGCGTATGATCCATCCCTTGTTCACTTGTGAACTTATAATACCTACCTACAAATAATGTTGATATGCCTACAGAATGAATTTTTTTTTTTTATAAATTTAGCTCGAATGTTTGAATGGACGGATTGACAGAGCCGGAGCCCACACTAAGCAGAGCTTGTTGCGTGGACCCCGACCCCTACCGTCCGATCGCGCAATTCCGGGTAACGGGAGAATTTAGATGCCAAAGTTTAACGTGCCCTTCAAAGCCAGACACGGCCTGTCCCACTCAACTGACTTCAACTGGCTGCGGCTGCTCCCACCAACCGCAGACCATCCCCGTCAGGAGTCTCAAATATCGAGCGCCGGAGCGTCTCGAACCCGGGCTCTCATTACCGGGAGTCCGATGCTCTACCAACTGAGCTACGGGACAGGCTAAATGAATAACTACAGTCATAAATCATAATGCATCAGCATCGTGATCTTCACCCAAATGAATCGCTTCACGAATAGGACCTCCCAATTTCCCATGCCATGGAAGCGCCCCTGATAAAGGTATCAGTTTGAAATTTTTAGGGAATATGCTCCCAGTTTAGATATAAGAAAAGTCAGAAAATGTCAGCTTCCTAGCTCCAGCCGTTTTGAAGATATTCCTGGAAAAACCTGAGGAGTGGATGAAAACAACCCCCTGCCACTAAGGGTTCATAAGCTATTTTTCAGGAAGGAGTCTTGGTAAGTATAGGCCATGCATTAGCGCTGAGCTAACATGCATTCATGCCAAACGACAATCAATACACAATCTTTAAGCTTTTAGTTGCACTTCCACCACATAGGAGTACAGAATAAGAGTTATTTTCTTATTTTGCCACCCTGGTTACTTCTACTTACAAGAACAAACAATAGAAGTGTAACAAAAATGGACAGCAGGAACTGCTAGGTGGTCCGTCTTGACCCCTCGTTATTTCCTGTCGGTGATTTTGACTTGTCCCATTTTAGGACCAACCACCGCCTACATTTCTTGAATTTAAAATCCATTCTCTGCACACATCAAAAGAGAAAGGAACAATCATTCAGAAAACTATAAACAATGGAGATTCGAGAGCTGTGTGGCAAGATATGCGACTTCAAAACCTTAGCTGGTCCGTCGTACCCCACCTTCCCCTATAGGTGTTACCCCACCTTCCCACTAGACATGCCTATTGTTAAAAGTTGTTGTCACGTCACTCGTTCTTGCATATTTGTGCATACATATCGCCTGTTCAATTATCAGTCAATCGAAATCGCTATCTGCTGAAAGAGTGATGAAGTTGATGCACCATTATGCCCGTAATGCCGTACCCCTAATCTGCTTTTATGTCGACCTTTGCTATCTCAATGAGCCAAACTGCTTCAGCCGCCGTCTTTGCTGGCTAAACCTGCTTTATAATTTTGTCTGCTCACCTGGGACTCTATCACACAAACATTTTACGCAATCACTATCGGAGAAAAACCAATAATTGTTATCGTCTCCGATGGAGCTTCTGCCGTGCCCCGGGCGGCGGCCGGCCACCTAGTTCAGGCGTCGGCCGATAGATGGCAGCGGCGGTCCGTGCAGGCTCCGCCCGCCGGCCGGTCGGTCGCGCTCCGCCGATGGTAGTCGTTGGCTCAGCCTTGCAGTGGCCGCCGGCTGTCGGGCGGATTTTCTGCTCTCGGTGCGAGGTGCAGCGCGGTCGGACTGTGCTTTTTGCGGTGTTCTCGTGTGATACGACTCGCGCTCGATGTGCCCTCGTCAATCGCGTGTCCGTGCTCTGGCGTTCTAGTTCAGCGCGCGCACCGATCAACCAGGTATGCATGGAGAGCACACATTACACATAAACCCATACCGACCGGTCTGCATCCACCCTAGCCTCTCGGCCACCCTCTGGTGACCTGCTGAGCTCGTCTCCCACCCCCCGTACCCCGGCAGTAGGACGGGGCTGGCCGGCACCCGCGGCGCCCGGCGCCGGCGGTGGGCCGCCGGTGGCCGGTTTTGCCGACCGGCGGCGCTCGGCTGCGCGCTGACGGCAGCTCCACCGCCCTGTGTTGCAGCCGCCAGCAGCGCGCCCCTGTGAGCAGCAGCGATGGCCAGCGAGTCTGTGGGCCTGGCGCCGGTGGGCGGCGAGGGCTCTCAGCCGCTGCCGGCGCACCGCGCCTGGTACGACTCGCAGCGCGCCGCCGGCATGGCGGCCATGGACGGCGGCGCCGGCACCATCCCGCCGGAGGACATGGAGATGTTCTTCCCGTCCATCGACGGCTCGGGCGGCCGCGGCCGCTACTACGGCGCGTCGCACTCGACGGCCGCCTACCCGGCGCACACGGCCGACTGGAGCTGTGAGTACCGACGGCGGGAACACGGGTACCGAGGGACACGGGACAGGGGACACGAGACACGGGACAGGGGTACCTGGCGCACACGGCCGACTGGAGCTGTGAGTACCGGACTGGGGAACACGGGTACCGAGGGACACGGGACAGGGGTACCTGGCGCGCACGGCCGACTCGAGCTGTTAGTACCCGAAGGATACGGGAAACTGGTACCGAGGGATACGGGATACGGGATACCGCGGTACAAGGAACACGGGGTACGTGGAAGCAAAACACATGTCCCATGTCCCGTGTCCCGCGGGTCACGGGACATGGCTATCTCGCTTGTACTTTATTGGTGTGTCCGGTTGTGGCTGTGTGCCCAGTGCTTCTCATCTGTCACACCATGACATTTTCATAGTGAGTGTGGCAGACATCTCACTGTGCGTCTCACTGTGAGCGTGACAGATACAGACTACGCCAACCGTTATCAAATTGGTAACCAATCTGCCGCTCAATTGCGACAATGGCTTATGGTTAGGATTGATTAATTTAGCAGAGGAAATATCAACTGTTACGTACTATGACGAGTGACCTGCTTGTGGTAGTGCAGACAGAAGTAAAAAAGAATGGACAATATTTCCTGAACCGTCAGACCTGAATGCTGTCGGCATTGGTTCATACGGAAATAAAACTGCTTTTAATAATCCTGTCCGGTAGAACTTTGCCTCATCATCTCCATCTCTTAATTATCAATTTTTAGGGAGAGTGCCGTAAAGAACCTCAGGATTTGCCATCTGTGTCAGTCAGATTTCCCACGTACCCAACTACCCACAACTGTTTTGTGTCCATTATTGTCAGGTCGACTGTAACATGTATGGTGTGACCCGGCCAGGTCGGCTACAGGTGTGACCCGGTCAGATTGGCTGTACCTATGTGACGTATATATGACTTTATTATGACGTGTGGCCCCGTCAGGTCGACTGTAAAATGTATGATGTGACCCGGCCAGGTCGGCTGTGGAATGTATGATGTGACCCGGCCAGGTCGGCTGTGACCTGCGTGGTGTGACCCGGCCAGACTGGCTGTGTATGTATGATGTGACCCGGTCAGACTGGCTGTATATGACGTGTATGACTGTATGATGTGACCCGGTCGGGTCGGCTGTGAGTTGTGACCTTTATGAAGTGACCATGTCAAATCGATTGTGACCTGTACACTGTACAGTATACGGTGTAACCCGGTCGGCGGTCAGGTCAGCTCCTCTACTGTGTTACGTCCCGCTCAGCTCCGTTCGTTGGGTTTCACGTTGTCACTCTGGGGCCGCTTATATGACCCGTCAGACCTGTGCCTCTGGTATGACCTGTCAGATCAACCCTTGGCTATGATTCCTAGGTCACCTGATGACCGTCCATTATAGGATTGTGTTTCGATATGTTGTGGGCGGTGCAGCTGTCTTCTGTCCGATTCTGACCCGGCATATTCGGCTGTCCTCTGTCTGGTTTATCCGGCGCGGTACACTGTCCCTGTCCGGCTCTGACCTGGTATTTTCGGCTGTCCCCTGTCCGATTCTGGCCCGGTGTCTTCGCCTATTCCCTGTCCGATTCCGTCCCGTTGCGGTTCGGCTGTCTACCGTCCGATTCTGGTCCGGCTGGCGTCTCTTCCGAGTCGGTCCCGACTCCCGACACATTGTCTGCGGGAGACGCACAGCACAGAGTATATGACCTAATGGCCAGATTGGGTTTACCCGAACACATAATCAGTCCGGTGTGCTCGGGCGGTACTGCCGAGACGGTGCGAGCCGCGGCTCAATGGCGCTATCCATGGATCTCCAATCTCGCTGTCTGACCACTGCGGCCAAAGGGAATGCGGACTGAGGAGCCGCACCCCCGCCCACGGCCGGTCGGCGCAGAATGGGTGCGGAATGGGGCGGCGGGGTGTGTAGGTGCGCGCATTTCTCCAGTAATCGACTGCAATGAAATACCTAATCATCGTCGTTTGATTCTGCGTCGATTATGCGCACTCTTCCTCAGTCTGATTAACAGTGCCACCGAATGTGGACCGTCGATGGTATCTGTCACTCGATACCATCAGCAGATAGCGCGGCGCCACATACACGATTACGTGTCGCTTTATCACAGATCAATTTGACTGGAATGTGCCGTATGACGGACAGGTTTGGAGTTATGACGATCAGCCGGGCACGTAACGATAAATCGCTCGCGCCTGGCTCCAATACTTTGCCTTATTTCTGTATGATTGCGGACAGATGCCAATGATATGTGTGTTGCGCTGAGGTGGATGTTTGAAGCAAGTAACATCACTACACGCTGCTTCATTTGAAACGAGGTGTTTTGCACCGTTATGCTAAACGCGTCATTTTAGGGGCCTGAAATGAAAAGGTTTTCAATCAAGCCTTCACGGCAAATAGATATCTTTCTTAGATATTATTCAACAGAATAGTTTAAATGCCTACAGGTTCAATGTTCATAATAGCTGAAACAATGTTTACACAAGGCAAGGCAGAGTATGAACGACAAGAAAGATAAAGAGCAACCATAACTGAAAACAAATAATCTCGGTTACTGGCTGCCCCCAAGGTAACTTGTGGATGATAGGTATTCATTATTGAAGCACTTCTTAGTTCCAATGTTGTTTACTGATCAAACGACAAACATCTTGTTCATACTAGCTGCTCATTCTATTATCCTAATTCCTATCCCATTTCATTTCAATAAAATACTGCTTTCATGTTAACAGCAAGTGGCGGCTCAAGAAAAACGTGAAAAGCATACACCAAAAAAGTCGAAATAAATTTCACACATAATTATTTAGATTCCGATTTACTCTATTGAACGGCGCATCACTAATGCCGGGTTCCCACTACGACCGTTCAACATCGTAAAGTGAAATAACGGGAGAAAACCGGCAAGATCGGCAAAATCACACCATGCATTTTTACGATCTCTGCCGGTGGTGGTGGGAACCGGGTATTTGACACGTGTTTTCGGATGGAGACATTTGTAAGGTTTTGAAAGTTTGCTCCCCATGTTGGTTGGTTGGTGAGGTCGCCAAAAAGTTGAACAGTGTTCAACTTTTTGAACGTTCTTGAAGGTTTGTGCAGATATTAAATGACACTAATAAGCATTTTTAGGCAGTGCATAGAGCAGGAAGCCCTTTTTGGGAAGTTTCTTGATATTCAAAGTGAGAAGACAAGCAGCAAGGCATGAAAGGTGGTGCATTTTTGCGGATAAAGGCTATATAACTCTAATTATATACATATGTAGATGTAGGCGAGCGCTAAGTGGCGATGAATAACAACTTTTCGGCAGGTTTACCGTAGGTCTAGTGCAATTTATTCATTTACCTACCATCAGCGCCTGGAAAATAAGAATATTACAAATAATGTCATGCCACTGCAAATGCGGCGCAAATAACAAACGTTTATTTACATCATCTAACAGTGATACATAGCTGTAGCAGTACTTGCTCTTGTGAAACTAAAGGCAGAGTTTCCGACAATCGTGGCCACCGGCGTCGTCGCTCACTTATGACCTCAAACGGGCGGCCACTCCTCGTTCAACACACGCAGCTTCCGCCGTCGGATCGTCACTGAGGGCCTCATTCGAGGCGCAAACAATCACAGTGTCTTCTGGATCAAGGCCATCTGGACCGCGCCATGTGATTGGGACGACCAGACCACATGCGAAGCATGTGATTGTCATTGGGCTGTCTGGTCCTTGTTATGCACATCGCATGCGATTCTTGAGCGAATGATCCTCGCTATGTCAGAACAGGTGCGACTTGCACTTTATCTCCCTGTTTTCGTAGCACCGCTCCGGAACTCAGAATCTATAGATGAAGTAGCCACCCGGTTGCGCGCCAGCTACCAAGAGTTGCATCGTAGATTCAGGTAGACAGGCTTGGAACCTCAAACGCTTAGGCCAAGCTCTCCTCTGGAAGACCGCTGCATTGTAATGCCACGCCACACTGCAGAGTCAGACAAACGTCGACAGTTGCCACCATCTGCTGTGAACCGTTGTGCTCGAATACACTCGTTTATCTTCATTGAGCACACGGCGTCAGTTTCCTTGCTGAACTCATAAGTGTTTCTCGTCTGTTCAGTTGATATTAGTATAATTGCCTTTACACAATTCTAGCATCGCCTGACGAGATGGCGTAGTCACATGATGATGGTGACATGAGCTGTGACACTGCTGTAAGTTGGAATGCCGGCTCCATATACTTGTACTCGTATACCTAAATCGCTGAACCTGTGTCGGCAAATTCAGTTGCATTACAGCCTGCTTCAACTTGCTAGATGTTTTATCGAGGATTGCCACAATAAACTGTTAAGAAATCATCGGAATTTGCAATTTATCGGTTACAGCTTCCCGAAGGTATTCACAGCAAAACCACAATGAGTTATATCAACTGCACACATTTTCGCTTCAAAAGTCAATAGATTGTCGTTATCACAGCTGTGAATGCTTTTCGCTGGCATTGTTGATATATTTTCTAATGCTCGCGTACTTTTAACACGCCAATAAATTTAAAAGGTTTCCTTATTTTATCATTCATTCAGTTGCACGGGATCTTTTACCACGTCAACTACCTATATTCTGAACTTTTTTTACAATAGCTTATTGTGCCGATCCCTCCTTCATCATCGCTCCTCTCAACCGGCTTTGTCCAAGCCGTTTGCCGATGTCTCACGATGTTTCCCCATCTTGCCCCGTATACCAGATCTAGGGAAGTGTTCAACTTTTTTAGAAAAGTCTCTAGATCAACGATCTCGTCCGTTTTATCCCGTTCTTGCAATTTACGATGTTGAACGGTCGTAGTGGGAACGCGGCCTAACCCAATAATTTTGGATCCATACCGTAAGGCCCAACATGACTTGACCGCAAGCAGCACATACGCATTTTGACATTTGAACAAACACCATAACACGAAAATGCGTATGAAGCTCTCACATTAAATAATGATTTTCATTAGTTGCGAACAAAACTTTCTAGAATTGCCTT